AGTAATCAAGGAAAATTCCATTAGAGAGTATCTAATGGGAACTCCATTTACTACAAACCACATTTCAGAACCTTTTGCTCCTTCCACATTAGCCTCCCTAACCATCAACTGCCATAACATGGCTGGAGGGGGAACAAGTTGGACATCAAGGAAAGCACCAAAAGGAGAATCTCTCCTAAACACTTCAAGGATTTCCATATGATCGCACAACTTTTCTTTCATCAATTTTTGGAAGTCTTGCAGTGAAGACTTCACAGTCAGCTTCATATGTGGAAAGTCCTTTGAATTTACCTTCGTCTTTATCCCCGGAACCTATATAACGGCATATAATGTCAACGAATTTCATATGGAAAGATATGCAATTAGTGCGACCAAGTGGTCGACACTTATTTTAGTCGATCAATGAAGTCGATCAGACTAAAAATTCATAAACCATTGTCCATTGGTTATTTCGAGAGAGAATAGTTCATTTAAAATCAAGTTTCTGACCTCGAGTGTTTCTTGTGTGGGCTTTGGGCTACTGCTGTGCTCTTTCATCCTCTCTTCCGCATGATACTCATAGTTTCCATTCTTGGAGGAAGACACAGAAGCATTCTTCGTCCTCATTGTAGAAATTCAAGGTTTTCCGAGACCGGTGACTTTGGATGGGTAGGGTTTCGATCAAGTTTTGCAGGTGTCGAAGAGGGGGGATTGAGCACACACAGATCGAAAACTCAATGGTCGCACGATGAAGGAAGATGTTTATGGAGGGTTTTTGTATAGTCTCTTCCGACATCGTTTCGCCCATTCTCGGATTTTTTATTTAAATTTAAAGTTGAAACGCCGTTTAAGCTTCGTTAAATGGAATAACTTTTCATTTTCTAAGAAGCGCGTCGGTCATACACGCCTGGACATTTCCGTCACTTCACCTTTACAGGGTAGTCCACCAAATACGAAACATTTACAGGGCATTTTGATAAATTATTCCATATTACCACCCCCATCCCCTAAATGAAATGTTGCAAAGCGTATTTATAATTTCATATATTTATTCACTTAAATTTTGATTGGTTGAAAATCAAAATTTTGGGATATAGAACTTAAGAAAGTTTCTAGGTCATATTTAAATGTTTGCTTAGGTTTCTCTGTTTGGTCATATTGAATAAATTTCTCAATTAGCAAGCTTGATTTGTGGTCAGCTTGATTGAAGTTGTATTAGTTTTTGATTGGTTGCTTTATCAATTACTATTAACAGTTGACATTTTATTACTGATGGATGATTTAATCTTATATATAAGTTGTAAATTATCTCTTTGCTCAATTAAAGACATGTATATATTTAGGATTTCAACACTGCAAAAATCATGTTGGTATGAAGTTTATTATTCATCTCCCCATCTACATAGGTTTTTTTGGTACACCCCATCTACACAGTTTTTTTGGTACACCCCATCTATATACATCTCGAATGTAGACCTCCATTAAAATAATGATTTTGTTATGTCTTTCAATGACAAGTTCGAAGGCTTGACTTCTAGGATTTTGTATTGTGAGCAGTGTCTGCGTTAAAGGTTTTTTTTCTTATACTAAAATATTGGAATAGAGTTTGACACTAAAATAAAAATTTTAATACCTAAATAAATTAAAAGTTTCACAATGAAGAAGTAAGTTTATTAATCTTGTAAATGAATCGCACTTATAAAGTTTGACACAAAAATAAAAAGAATTTAATACTTGAATAATTACAAGTTGGACAAATTGGGATAAGGTACTGAGGTAGTTTTTCTTACCAATATGCATTTCCAAAGTACTGAGGCATTTTGACTTGTGAGAAAATTCTCTCTTAACTACATTGTCAGTAGGTATTATGGCCATAAAAAAATAAAGAAATGTTTTATTAGTGTAAATACTAAATAGAAAATACTGATCTTGTATTGAAAAGTTGTAAAGTTCACATTATTGTGATCTCTCCGATTTAAAGTGAGTTTCAAAGAACACATTTTAAAAAAATATGTACAAGGCGAATACATAATTTCTTTCAATGTGCAGAGAAGAGAATTCGGACATTCAATGATTTCAACCCAATGATTTGCTTGAGAATCATTGCCAAAGGACCTTCCAAATCTCAAAGCACTTCCTTTTAAGCCCTTGGTGTCTGAAATTCATTGTATTTAAATCATTACACATTAGTAGCACAAATGTAGTATTGTCCATCATGTAGTGCATAGCAAAAGAACTTCTAAGAAATAGAAAAAAAGGGAAAATAATATTTGTAGATTAGAAAAATCCGCTTACAAACCATAAAATACAGAAGTAGATTCTCTAAGATTTAAATTGGATTTAAAAAACTTTGAAAATTTAATGTCGGAACTTGAAAATGTAATTTAAAACTCTAAATAATGTATTACGGTATATTCTATTTTTAATAAACAAGTACATCACCCGTGGGATGCACGAAAAAAACATATCCTAATTACGAAAAACATATAAAATATTTTAACTTGCTGGATATTAGTTTATAAATACTCCTTCATTTATGTACGCACCTTCATTTATAAATCTTATTTTTCATTCAATTTTAAATAGACACACAAAGTATTAAAAAAATAAGTTTTAGAGTGTACTACATTCAAAAGATAATATGAGAATGATGGATAGTAAAATGTATACATTAAGACCAACCAAATACTTTCAAAAACCTCTTTATAAACTACATTCGTTGTAGTGTTAGCTGAAGTATTCTCAGAAATACATACTCCCTCCGTCCCAAAATACACTTCCCTTTTCGTTTTTTCTTTGTCCTCAAATAAACTTCTATTTTCCCTTAGAAAACCCATTTTACCCCTTATTTTTTCATACCATACCTATCACATCATACCTTTTTACTAATAATCTACATATCACATCTTACTTTTACACATCACATCAAGGGTATTTTTGGAAAGTCAACACAAAAATATCCCTTCTCTTAAATCATCAAAAAGTCAAAAAGAGAAGTTTATTCAAGGACAAAGGGAGTATTATTATTTTAAAACCTGCTCGAGAGTGTACCCTAGACATCGCCTCGCCATACACAGTTAGCCGTAACTGAAAATATGTTTTTTTTAAGAACAGGACAAATATTCATTTACTAAATTAATTTTGAATTGAAAAAGAATTTATATTTATCACAAATATTTCCCACTTGGCTCAAAAAATTTATCTAAAAAATTAACTATTTTTTTTGAATTAAATGCATAGATTGTGAAAGTTTGTACTCCTGGCCCAATAAAAACATTATAATTCGGCCCTATAAGAGGCCCATTTGTTTAGTTTGTGAGGGTAGGGTTAATACTCCGTACTCCTCCGCCTCCACCTTTCATTTCCAATCTCGTTGTCTCTCTCTTCTGTCTCCAATCTCCATCTCCGCCGCCCATTTCTTTTTTGCCGATCATCTCTTGATTTACGGTGATAGTTTACAATTGAATCCTCAATTCTGTTAGATTTGGTAATCCTAAGTATACGATTGTGTTGTTTTTAGTTTTTTTCTAGCGAATATCTTTGATTCATGGATATGAATTCGTATGCTTAAACCAAAACTTTATGATTTATATTATTATTTTTTAGCGTATGTTTTTTTTTTAACTTTTTTCGATCTATTCTTGCTTCACAATATAAATTTCTACGTTTTTTAGTAATATAATTTACTAATTTTGATTTTAGACTTGTTTAAACGTAGATCTATAAATCTATATGTTTCATACTTATAAGCGTGTCAAGTTTTCACACACACAGATATATATGAATGATACTGAATGTTAACTTTTGGTTTCTACCTTTTGTAATGTGCACTTGGAATTTAACTTCCCCACATTACTACATCTGTGTCCAGCACATGGGTAATATATTACATTGGTTTTTTGCCACTTTATTTGGTGGTTTTCCATTATGCTGATTGCTGACCATTCTGCGTACCTATTTACCATGGTTTTTTAAATGGACTTTAATTTTTTCTGGATGGAGTATTTTTAAAAATCAGGACTGGAAAAAGTAAGTGTCATTTTGGTTTTAATATGGTAATGACAAAACATTTCCTACTTTGGGTGTTTCCAGGCAGGAAATGACTGTTTTGGTCTCTACCACTTGTAATGGATAATTGTCATGTGCTATAGGGACCATATTCCATGCTTCATCTTGTAATTAAATGATTTCATCCTATTTTTGCAGCCATGCCATACTTTGTGTATGAAGCTGGGATAATTTGAATAATTAAGAGGCTGTGATGATGGTTTTATATGTTTTCTAATATTCTGTTTACTAAATACGTATCTTGGTGTGGCTACCTAACTTGGCAGCCATGGTGTTTTCATAAACCTTTTTCTTAAAATGATTATACAAATAGAAAACATCTGAGCCTCTTTATATTAACTTTGAAATAGTTATTTTCCTTGCAATACATACTGCACTAATTTTGCCCTTATAAAGACATTTATAGTTGGTCCACGTAAGTGATTCCATCCTATTTATAACGTAATGGTATGCTTTGTGTATAATGGTGGAATAATTTGAATAATTAAGAAGTTGTGATGATTGGTTTTATATGTATTCCAAAATTTTGTTTATTGAAATTAAGGAGATGGTACGTATCTTGGCGTGGCTATCTGGCTAGCCAGAAGCAGCCATGGCGTTATCATAAACTTTTTCCTTGTAATGAGTATATAATTAGTGATAATTGAGCCTCTTTATAGTACCTCATTTGAAATGGTTATTTTCCTGCCCATCACCCTGCTTCAATTCTGCCCTTATAAAGTGATGGTGAATAAGTGTCTACCCAGCATTTTCCTGCACTTATACATACTGCTCTAAATCTGTAAATGATACCTGGATTTTGTCCATTTCTGATTGTACATTTCTCTGTGTTGTGATGAAGCTGCAATAATTTTGTAGCCATGTTTTATTTTGACTGTGAAGCTGGCTTAATTTGAATAATAAAGAGGCTGTGATGATTGATTTCACATATTTTCTTTTATTCTCTTTACAGTAGCTTTAAAATGGGATTTAAATTGTTTTTACTCCTTTTCAGCTTGAAATGGCATTATCCCGAATCCACATGTTGGTCTAATTCTGCCTAGAACATCTCGTGTGTGAAAAATCTGAAGATTAAAAGAACATGGATTGGGGCAGTGCAAGTTTCATTCTGGCGTGATGTTATGAAGTTGGGTCAGTGGCAGTTTTCAAATGTGAACTACTTGGCTAGATTGTTTGTTTATATTGAGATGTCAAGTACTGAAATTTATTTTGTCCAGAAGTTATTGTATATGTTTCTATAGTGAGATTTAATGAGTAGCTGCCATGTGTACCAAAGTATTATTAGCCATTGGATGTTAATTTCTGGCGGGAAAATTGAAACATGAAATTGGAATGGATTCTCCATCAGCTTTTATATATATAGTAGATATGGATGAAATGTCACCAAAGTAGGACACTCTGTCTTGTCAATGCTCTAAAGACATTGTGAATTACGTCTATGAGTGTGATACTAAACAGTCTGTAAAACATCGAGGAAGGGTTCTTCAGCAGCTACCCCAAATCCTTCACCATTGCTGAAACCACGAGCTAGCATATTACACTGCTTTTGAGTGGACTCAAGATGATATCTGAATATGAAAGTTATCGAAAGGTATTTCAAAGGAATATCTTGAAGACCTAAGTATTATTGTTTTGACTGATAAAGCCTTGTATTTGATGAAACTAATAGATAGAAATGGACCTGCTAATTTTTCCTTCATAGCTTTTCTCATAGAATAAGCCTCAATTTCTTTTTCTATTTGTTATTTTCTTTAGTAAGGAGAAGAATTTTGATAGAATATTTATCCTTTGATCATTTTATTTGACCTGTCAACTCATCTTTATTTGGTCCTCCTAGCTGTCCTCTTCGGTTATGGGATAATGCTGTATGTTGACCACATGTTATATCAGTGTATTGCAAAATGCAGAGTAGGCAAACTGATTTATTTGTTCTTAGGAACTGTAGCTGGTTATATATTTTTCAGACTATGCAGAACCATCAAGGGGACTTTGGAAGGGTGAAGATAAGTTTCTTTGGTAACATCATACTTCTTTCCAAAGATTGCATTTCTTATCGTCACCGTGCTTATACCCATTATTTGGAGAAGCAAGAGCATTCACACAGTTCCCATTCTCTGATTTTGCATACATGTACCTTTAACTCTATTAAGAGGAAACCTTGGGACAAGAGATGAGTCTATCCAGTCCCTCTGTGAACCAACCAGGATTCAAAGGGAGATCCCAACACTTAAAAATCCATCGTGGCTTCTTGTTAATTGAGCTTTTCTTTATACTCTACATCTGGTTTGGACTGTTCTATTGTCCTTGGGGTTCTCTTTGTTGTCCTATTAGTTTCTTCTCCTTGTCTCTGTCCTCCTTAATTATATGCATCACTGTGTTAAGGAATATGTTGGGGAATGAATGTTTTGGACACCACGACTTCTGTTGATTTATATTCCCTCGTTCCGTGAGTATTTGTTCAATTTTAACTTTTTGACTCAAAATAAATAAAAATAATATAAGATATTGATACAAAATTGTTTTATTAGATTTATCATATGAAATATTTTTAGAATATTATTTTATTTAATAAATATATAATATAGATTTTATTTATTTATATGTCAAAGTTTGAAACAGTTGATTGAAAACAGTCAAAATTAGACAAATACTTGGTGACGGAAGCAGTATCTGTTATTGTATACTGTCAATTACCTCATGTTTGATCGGCAAAGCCTGAATGATTAAGTCTCCTCCACACTTTATTTTGGCTAATGACTATTACCACCGGCTTAATAAGTTCGGTAGTTCTTCTTGTCCCTTACCGCTTCTCATCTAGGAACATTGAAATTTGTACTAAATAGTACTAAAACATGTCTTTTCTTAATGTAGTATTTAAAATTTTTTATTTCCTAAATAGTACTGAATAATGTTCAATGGTGTTTAACATTTACTTGAACAATATCTATTGAAGGTGATTATTTACTTCAACAATATCCATTGGATATTAAACAATGATACTAGATTAGGAATGTAAAACCTACAACACTACATTGAAAATTTCATTTTGTTTGAGTACTATATAGGTATTCCCTTAATTAGGTATCCATTGTTTTTTGGTTGATGGGTTGTTATAGAGATCTTCATTTATGCATAGTTGCTGTTTTCTTGCTCACAATGGCTCCAAATCTATATGATGATATTCTCTGCTTGCTTTGGAAGTCCTTCCCCTTTTATGTTTTTTGCACTTTCAGATTTGACGCAACTACATGATTTAATTGTAGTTCATTTTTTTAATATTGTATCTGCCAAGACAAGTCTCTGTAGGTTTTCACTTTTCACAATATTTCTACTCTTTTTAATTGATGCCAATTACCTTACAAACTCCAACAAAAAAACATCACATAAAACCGAGAATGACTGGTTGAAATTTGTGAATGGCTAAAACTCTTCTTCGAAAAATGGAGTTTGAGGTTGATGGTTGGTTTCTAAAAGCCAACAATTGAAACACAGAGATTCGAAACATTATGAATCGGTTGTTCAATTTATTCCTTTTATACCCTTTAAATTTTTCTAAATACTCCTTTGCTGTTGAAGAAAAATAGATAGAAAAAAAGCATTTGTACTTTGATTTTATTTACACAATAGATTGATTAAGTAGGTACTCCCTCCGTCCCCCTGTATTTGTCCACTTTCATTTTTACACATCATCCAATGCACTTCTTTAATCCATTTTATTTTGTAATTTGTATATTAAAAAATTATAAAAATTATATATTAATAATCTATATGTTAAGATAAATCAAACAAGATCACACATGACTATATTTAGACTTACACATTGAGAGAATTTGATGAGTCAAAGTGCTTAGATGAACAGTTCCAAAAGTCAAATGTGGACAAATACAGGGGGACGGAGGGAGTATTATTTTAGCTTGTCTGTTGAACAAAAATGAAGTATTTTTACCCTTTTGCATTTGCATATAAATATTTAAAACCCAAAAAATTATTTATTATATGAACCCGGTTCCATGGCCACTGGAATCCAGTGGCCATGGAACCGAGCTCTTATTATATACCCCCTTTGTTCTAAATTTACTATCTCAATTTAACTTTATGAAGTTTAAGTTAAGTATTGAAAAGTAAAATTAAGCGAGTTTACAAAAAGATTATACTCCGTTTGAGCGTTTAGAATCTTTCCTTGCCTTTTAATATCCCATGTATATAAGTACCTATATTTCAAATAATATGTATACCATGTTTATTTGTTGCTGCAAGCCATGTACATTTGCAATTTCCTAATGGTGTATTTTATATATCCTATTTTTTTCTCTATGTTTTAATAGCGCGTGCAATAATAATTATTACATGGAGAAAATACAGAAACCAATACAAATTAGAAATATTTGAAAACATGAGATCAAGCAGGGTCATGACTCATATAGGAGATAAAGCTTAAAGAATCATTTTCACTAAATTTAGATAGCCTTAAAAAATCATAACACAATATATAACTAAACAATTAAAAAACTCACATAAAAACAAGATCGGGCACTCAAATCCGCGCAACGCACGTACAATTGTGTTACAGGCCAAACGGAAGAACTCAACCCAAAATACTAGTCTGATAGGTGAGGGAACCCATTTGGCCTATAAACCTCACATCAATTGCCCATACAACCGATGTGGGACAAGTCCCATACCTTGCAATGGTTTCAGTCTATAACATTCGCCCCTCCTTAAGGACCAACGTCCTCGTTGGTCACGACCACGTTGGTCACGGCTGGCTTTCTCCAGGCCACCACTCCGTGGGCCACCACTCCGAGGTTGGCTCTGATACCACTGTTACAGGCCAAACGGAAGAATTCAACCCAAAAGACTAGTCTGATAGGTGAGGGAACCCATTTGGTCTATAAACCCCACATCAATTGCCCATACAACCGATGTGGGACAAGTCCCATACCTTGCAATGGTTTTAGTCTATAACAAATTGCTAGTGTGTGTGTGTGTGTATGTGTGTGTGTGTGTGTGTGTATGTATGTATCCTTTACACACGCCACACACACACATATGGATACATGATAGTGCTTGTGTATATACATATATATGTAATATCTATGTGCGTACATATATATGTATGTAATATACTTTAATAACATGTACACACACACATATATTACATTATATATTATATTGCGTACATTTTATTTTGGAGTGTCATTTTAATTATGAAAATAATTATTTTGACAGAAACTATTTTAAAGTATATTTTATATACTTGTTTTAAAATGTTTTGGATATTTTATTTTATATCATCAAAATTATTGATGTCAAATAAAATACAGTTTGAACATTTGAGAGGAGAAGGATTAAATTCTTCCCCCTTCACCTTCGTACATATGGCTTAGTGGAGCTTGTCTCCCATTTTAAAAGGTGTGGAGGAGAAACTTTGACAAAACACTATTGGACCATGCTACACTTACACAAAAAAATATACCCCATTTGTACACCGCAGGTTTGCACAAACATTTCGATGGTTTACACCGACACAAGTGTTGGTGCGTTAATAAAAATTCACACGGACACAAATGTTGGTGCGTTTAACAAAAATTAGTTTTACACCAACACAAAGTGTTGGTGCAAAACTGCGGGGTACAAACCTTGGGGTACACATAGCATAATCCAACACTATTTTGTCTTTTATTATTGTTATTGCCTTTTATTACTTTATAAAATGTTTTTCTTCTCCCTTTTTGTGTGTGTGAATATTTCGGCCAAGAGAAAGGAGAGGAGAGAGGGAGAATTATTTTGGGTGTAGAAAATTGTTATAATATTTTCTTTAAAATATTATTGATAGATTTTCTACTATTTAATATACAAGATTAATATTATCCCTCTTAAATCTTTATATTTTAATATACTACTTTAACACTTGCTAGCATAAGTGTAAAGGTAGACTCCGGAGTTTGTTCGTGTGTAAAAGTTAGAGGCCTGACACTTGAACGGCTACGTTTGCTCGTTCAACATCTTTGCTCGACTTCACGTTCATACCGCTTTACCGGAGAAGGTATAAGTTTCTATCTCTAGCTATAGTTTTAGTACGTGTTCTTGGGCTAGTAATCACTATTGGGAGCTTAAAATTTTGTATTTCCGCTGCCCTCCCAACCATGGTTACCTTTCACCAAAATGTCATTTTTATTTCAAGAAATCATCCTTATATTGATCATATTAGATTGGTATCAAAAATAGGATTTTAGGGCTCAAAAATAGCATTTTCAGAAATATTTTCGGGTTAGAAGTTCGCGGGATCGATCCAATACTCTGGATTGATCCATGCTAGAGAAAATTATACCAAGAGGATCGATCCAGTGGGGTGGACCGATCCACCTTGCTGGTTTTTTGATCACTGTTCATCATCTTCTTCGTTCGCGTCCAATTTTGAAAATACCATTTTTAGTTACCAAACTTCAACCAAACTATATACAAATGTTCTACATGGTTCATAGATCATTTTGGTATCATTAATTCGTAGTTTTAACAATAATTTCAAGATTTATGATTATTAGTTCTTCAAGCATGTCAAACACAAAACTCAACCAAACGACCTTTATGAACATAGAAACGATTTATACGAACATTCTAGTCACTACATATATCTACGAAATTTTTCCAGCGAAACTTCCGGCGACAATAACTCTCCGCTCCGGCGACTTAACACCAAATTGACAGAACCACTGCGTTCTCCACACTCAATGCTAACTCTCAGAAGACAGTTGAGACGAAATGGTGAAGAAATGAGTAGAAGAGGTTGTCTTATATAGAGGAGCTTGGAAGAAGAAGATGAAGAATTCTGCATCACCTTCCCTATTTTAGCGGCTAGTGGAGTGGACTGCGATATTTCTCCGATTCCAAACGCAAGTCCCTGATTGGGACTAATTTTTGTCCCAGTCGGGGTACACTTTTTGGTCAAACTTTTCTGAATTGAAATCCGATTGAATTGTTGGGGTCCGAAAGTCAAACTCTACATAAAGATAAAATTTTCATTATTTATTGACAAACTTTATAAATCACATATTTTTTGGTCCTTCTGAGTAACTAATTAATTATCAATTAATTAATTCTGATAGGCCTATTTTTAGGGCGTTACAGTGTTAGATGTCCACGTACTCACCTTGAATTTGTTCAATTAAAGCTATGAATATTAAGCTAACGAACGGCCGTGAGTGATCTACCTCTTCTTCTTCCTTCTTTTATTTTCTTCTTCTTTTGGCTCTGTTCCGCTTCTCTATTCTGGTCGACAAAGAGAGAGCGAGAGAGAGTCGACTTATTACATCATGTGTATGTGGGGAGGGGTTTCAGGCGCGTGGCGTAGTATTTATAGGTTTGGGGGGTTTTGGGCTCTGTAATTAAATAACGTACCTCGATTAAAATACACTTTTTAGGCCAACTTGCTCTGAATTCAATTCGGTTTTCACCATTGGACTCGTCTCGTTGAACCATACACAATGATATATCTTTTATAAATTCTATAAACGGATATTTAAATTAAACTCTGGGTCTTAATTAATTAATTCTGATAGACCGAGTTTCAGGGCATTATAAATGCAGTCAAAAGAGTTATTGCCAAAGGCTTCACAGTGAAAGTCAGTTTACACCCTAAGAGGGGGATGAATAAGGGTGTTTGAAAGTTTTTCGTAAAAACAAACACTTAAGCACAAAGTAGTAGCGGAAAAGGAGCAAGAAAAATATAAAAGAGAAAAGTACGACACAATCGATTTTATACTGGTTCGGGAACTCCCTACTCCAGTACCTCAAGGCTCTTCCTCAAGGATTTAACTTCCACTAACTTGTTTGGCTACACTAAGTAGACTCAAACGAGGTTTGGCAAAAAACCCTTGCCAATAAAAAAATGAGATTTTATACCGGATATCTCAACCGTTTACAACCGAAGATTTAGAGGCTATCTTCAACATTACAATAAGGATTTAAAGGCTATCCACACCTTTTACAAAGTAATGAAAAGTGTTTGTTGCTTCTCTACCAAACTAATAGATAATATGATTGGGTAGAAGAAGAACAAAATATAAAACCACCAACAATTTCCTATGAGCAAGACAAGAAGATGAAACACAAAAGCCCTTGGTGTGTGAGCGTTAAAAATATAAAGATCAAAGCTTTAAATTCAAAACAGAGGGAAAAATTAGGAACTTTAAAGCTTAGAACACTCAAATGATCAAGAATGAGCTTATAATACTGTATGTTAAGAAGTGTTGTTGTGTATTTTGAAGAGGCTTAGGAGTGGTATTTATAGTGTTTAGGAAGTTTAAAATGGGTTTTAACTATTAAAGAGACGTTGGGAGACAAATTAGATTGATTGGATTAATTAAATCAATCAGGAAGAGTAACCCAACGGATCCGCTACCCATAACGGTAGTCAAGTACCGTAACGGTAGGGGGTACCGTTACTGACGGTATAGGGTCCCGTGACAAGTCTTGTCTGGAAGTTCAAATTTGAATTTCATAAGCCTCAGACGGTCCCTGGGTACCGTTAAGACGGTATTGGTTACCGCCATAATGAAGTTTGGGCTATGCTCCCAGCCATACGGTTGGAAGGATGCCGGTAGGGCGTACCGCCATAGTTCATTCCGGGCTGAGCTACATGTTAACGGTCGGTAGCTCCTAAATTGGGACGGTATGGGATAGCATTAGAGTCCTTTAACACTTAGCCAATTTTTGGTCGGGCGGTACCTACCTGCTGTACCCTAACAGTATCTAGGTACCGTTAGCACGGTATAGGGTACCGTTTTGTCTGGTTCTAACCCAAAAATGATTTTATTCCCGATTTTTAAAAATGACCCAATCAAAGAAATGTTTAGGAACATTTGGAAAATATTTTTAATTGCAAGGGCATAAGTGTAATATCATTTAGTCAAGCTCTTTCATTTTCAAATCTAAACTCGAATGAATCATTTCTTGGTGAAATCAACCAAGTTAGGAGAGGTTCGGGTGTCTCATTTAAGCCTGCAAAAGGTTAGTACTTGGATGACTTATTTGGAACATCAAAACGTGGTGAGTTTTGGCATTCAAGGCCAACAATCTCCCCCTTTTGATGTTGACAAATAAGGCTTTCAAACAATGTAAACATTTGCACAAGTTCAAGTATGTTGAGTTGAAAGCTATTTTGAAAAA